TTATACGATGATTCATAGAATGTTAAATCAATGAGATTGGTAAAAAAGAAACATATCATTATGCTGAATTAATCCCATCACTTCTCTATCGAATGCCAAATCTAGAAGAACTCGGTTTGTGTCTTGTGGTCTTTGTTAAGGAAACGTTTATTGATGGGAACCATTTGAAGAAAAACATTCTTAATCGTATGCTAAGATTAAATAAGTTTACATTTTATATTCGTTCATTCATGTATACTGGTAATAAATTGAATTTGCCCTTAACAGAAGATATTCAACGTACATTCATTGACTTTCAAAATAATGAAATTATTTCTTATGTTGATTATTTTCCAGAGGAAAAACGAGGTCGATGTCACATTTATTCATATCCATCTTTTATGCCATATTATGGTGATATTACAAATAATTTTCCAGGTGGATTATTCAATTATGTTCGTGTAGTGTCATTATGTGATGAATATCCTTTTGAACATGAATTTTTTCTTCGAATTGTTCAATCATTTCCATTTATGGAAGAATTAACTGTAATTAATCGTAAAGGACAAAATGACAAACAATCTTATAAATCAAACAATGATAGTCGAATTTCATCTGTTATTAAATATTCTTTTCTTAATGAACTTGATCTTCTTAATGTTCATGATGATTATATAGAAGAATTTCTCTTTGATACTAAAACGTATTTCCAAAATAATGTTCTTCTTCGTATTAAATGTGAATCATTACAACGAGTAACACACAATTTTACAAGAGATATTACAAGAATGAATTGTACCAAAATAAATGAATTAGAATTAAGTGGTGAACCAATATGTTCCGATTCTTTACAAGAATATTTTTCTTATGCAAGAATAAGTTATCCATTAATAATTTGAAAGACAAAAAGATGAAGTATTAAATTAAAGAAAAGCAGAATAAAATGAGAGAAAATTGTCTTCTGTATTGTTGTAAGAAAATTATATCTATATAAATATGAAAATGATTATGTCATATGTAGGAATATGTGAAATAAATTAATTTGTTAAATAAATATATATATATATTATGTATTGGATTGAAAAAATAAGTTCTGCAAATTTTCTTTTTTAAGATAAAATTTAGTTTACGACAAGGACATGTAACATCAATTGAAAGTATGATCGTCATGATTTTCGGTATATTTTGTTTTATTAACAATATTATATAAGAATAAATAAAAAATAGAAATCAAGTGTTGATAATATTTAAACATTGTTCTTATTTTGTAATTAAACTGTTGCGTTGTTCATCCATCTTTTCTAACAATGTCAAATCGAATTCGGTCATTCTCCTTCATGTTTCCATTATGATATTGATGTGAATGTCAATGTCAGTTATCTGATGTATTGTGTTTCAATGAACATAACTATATGGATTTCATCTATAGAAAAAAATATTTTTGCTAGAAACTATTAAATTCAACATATTTCTTTTATGCAAAATATACTTGAATGTTGAATGAATATTTTCAAAGTAAATCAGAATCATTTCGTCCTTTATGTCGATTTATAACTTGTATTTCTAGACTTTTTTTGTTTTTCGATATGTATTAATGAAGAAAAAGTTGTCATTTAAAAAAAAAAACATATATGATGATAATTGCTACTGTCGACCCAACATGCTAAATGTTAATATGTAATGTCATTTCTTTATTGCTTTACGGAATTTTTCTCGTATAGATATCGAAACTAAAAAAAAGGCTTTAATGAACATTTTATCTTACATGGTTTTTCAAAACGACCATCAATAATATTTGATTTTTATTTTATAAATTACATAATTACAATTATAAATTCGATGACAAATATTATCCATATTTTGACGTACAAAATGATAAAGAGTTGATATATATTGATTAAGAAGCATTTTTTGCATTAGAAAAAAAAAAGATCTTTAATAATATGCCATATATACTATCATTATTGACGATTTGTATTCTTCTCATCATTTTCATATAGTTCATTTTCATAGAATCTTACATCATTAAATTCACATAATTTTTTAATATAAATTGTTTTTACACTTAGTAATCGTATCTTGAAGATACTTTTGTTTTAAATAAGACTCTTCAAATAGCTGAGAAGATATTCGATTCTACATGTTGGAATATAAAATATATTTAATGGTTTAGTACAAGTTGTAATTGATTGATTTAAAAATGATATACAGTTATCAGACATATGATCATGACTAGCTTGTTGACAACTGTAAAAAAGAATATTTTATAATTATTAAAATCTACTATATGAAGAAATAATGAGAGATAAAGTTGTTAGATAGAGATATATAAATTCAACATTTTTTTTACGTTGAGAAATTAATTTTTTTCACGAATTCTGATTTTAAATCAGTTAATCTGGGAATCATAGTTGATATTAATCAAAAGACATCAACGTTTTTTTTTATTGATTTTTACATATCGATAGTATTTTTATTATTGTAGAATTTAGTTTAGTCAAAAAGATGTTCAAACACTTGAAGAAACTACTGATAAGTTATTTAACTTCTCTATTTGTGAAATATAAGAATGAGGATATGATCGAGTGTTTCTGTACGAAAGAAATCAAATAAAAGCAATTACTTTGTACTTTTTAGTAGTGACTATACTATATTATAAATTATAATTCTGCAAGCGCCGACTTATTAATTATCAAGTAAAAACAATCACTTTTCTAAAACTTCCAATTTTCGACAAATATTTTTTTATAGCTTCATGATATCTTTGAAGAGAAACGACCATCACCAACACTTGTAGCAACAAATCGTGTTGTTTCTCATTATTATCCAGTACTTTAACATCATAATGTTGTGTGTATCCTCATCATATTCCACCAGCAACATAAAATGATCTTTATCCAATACAATTGTAAGTCTCTTAAAAAAAGAAAAAAAAAAGAATTTTCTATTTTTTATTTAGAAATTATTATACACCATATACACCTGCTCCACCACCTAAAATTGTTACTCCCCCACATATTTCAACAAATGAATATAACATGCCTGGTTTTCAATCTCATTTAGCAGCACCATATACATCAACACCAACATTCATTGCTTATCTTCAAACAGTTACACAACCAATATCAACAACTCTTTCAGAAAAATGAATTTTATATAAAATAACGGTATTTTTAACGAATGTAGGAATTTATTTTTATGTGCAGGTAAAAAGAATTATTCTTTTATTATTAATGAAAACATTGAAGAAATTTTTTTTCTATTTACAGTGATTCTCTTAGTCGTAGTCGTCATCGAGTGATGTCTCTAATTCGTGATAGCTGTCGTCAACGATAATCATCATTCTATCGAAGGTAAAACCTACGTCTCCGTTCCCATAAGAAAAACATTTCCTTAAAAATTTTCATATTTAAATAGATCACCATCTCGTTCACCATCTACTTTTCAACAATCTTCACATTTCAGGTAACAAAATAAATTCGTTCATGTGAAGTCGATGATCGTATTAATACATCATCAAAAAAGAATAATACTTTCATAAAAAAATTGAAACAGTAGTTGGAGAAACACATGAAAATGTTCAAGAAAAAAATTCTAAAAATGAAAAGAAACTTAAAAAACACAA